GGCAAGCGGCCCGCAACGCTTTGCTAGATTGCGGGGCAACTCGCAACTTCATCAGCCAGTCCTTCATGACTCGGGCTGGCCTTGGCGCACAAGTACGAAGGAAGTCACATCCGACGACGGTCGCTCTTGCCGACGGTAAGACGAAACAACTTTTAGACCGTTACATCTCGGCTGTCCCGGTGTACTTTGCACCGCAYGCATGTGAACCCGTCACTTTTGACGTGTTGGACACCGACTTCGATGTCATTTTGGGGATGCCTTGGCTTTCTAGCGCGGACCACACAATCAATTTCCATCGACACACGCTCACGATTCGTGATGCAACTGGCGCCGAGGTCCCGTGTACTATTCCTCCTCCTCGTTCTTCCATTAGGTGCCAAGTCGTGCCAAATCTTTTCGAGGCGCATGCCGTTCCGAGCATGTGGAAGAGATTGGCATCGCTTTGCTTCGAACCGTCCCGACGACCGATTCATCGTCCACAGAAGTGTCTTCCGACCCCCGTGTGACCCGGTTGTTAGACGAGTTCTCGGATGTTTTTGAGACACCCTCCGGTATAGTGCCGGACCGGCCAATCTCTCACGAGATCATACTTGAGGCCGGTGCCGTGCCACCGAAAGGATGCATTTATCGCATGTCCGAGGAGGAGCTCACGGTTCTTCGTGCGCAACTCGACGATCTACGCGACAAGGGTTGGATCCGCCCTAGCAGCTCACCTTTCGGTGCGCCCGTTCTCTTCGTTCGGAAGAAGAACAAGGACCTTCGACTTTGCATTGACTACGGACGCCTCAACGCGCAAACCATCAAGAACGCGGGGCCTCTACCTCGCATTGACGATTTGCTTGAGCGGTTGGGCGTCGCCAAGTACTTTTCGAAGTTGGACTTCAAGTCGGGCTACCATCAGATTTCCATCCGCCCGCAACATCGGTACAAAACCGCGTTTAAGACGCGATATGGGCATTTTGAGTGGGTAGTTATGCCTTTTGGCCTCACCAATGCCCTGGCCACCTTTCCAGCGGCCATGACCACCGAGTTTCGCGCTATGTTGGACCGCTTCGTTTTGGTCTGCGTAGACGACATCCTCGTCTATAGCCGAACTCTAGAGGAGCATCTCGAGCACCTTCGTCGTGCTCTAGAGACTCTTCGGTCATCCTGGTACAAAGCTAACCGCGACAAATGCGAGTTTGTTCGGCAAGAGCTTGAATACTTGGGTCATTTTGTCTCTCCGGAAGGCAT